CCCCCCCCCATGAAACAAAAGTCCAGAACAATACAATATAAAAAAGCACAATTAATAAGACGTAGAAGCATGCATTTAATCTACATTAAATTTCTGATGTATTCAACGAATCAGAATAATAACTTAATAAAAGTAGAAAAATTCTCTTACTTCTTTTCAACAAATTCATGCTGAATGTTGCTATTGAATGCTTCTATAATAGATGCCAAAGCCTTCTCTCTTGTTGAGCCCCTATAGCCAAAAACGAGTAGAAAATTAGCTACATTTTTCATCAGAAATAAAACCTCAAGTGGAGCTAATGATCAAAGATGGAAACTTCAAATATAAGTAATCATGTCTAGTAACTCATTCAAGTATAGTCAAACCTTTTCTCATATAAGGCGTCCAAGCATTGATCAAGGACAGTCTCCTTATCAAATTGAACCTCCTCTAAACCAGACAACATCATATCCGATCGAGTAGTTGATGATGAACTAACGCTATCCGTGTCATCGCTATCTAGCATCGCAGCATTCCTACGTTGCGAACTTCCTAATAGAAAAAACAAATCCACCAGTAAACACTTTAATTCCCAATTTTATTTCGAAATTCCCAAAATTCCCCACAAAGCAACATACTTTAACCCAACCCCACAAAAGATAGGTTTTCCTTTTATGCCTAACCCATTTGGATCCTATTGTAAGCAAAAACAACTACGAATATTTAAGTAGCGAGAAGTTAAAGAACCCAAAGTTTTATATTCGTTTCGAAGACAGAAACCCAATTCAATAAAGCCTCTACTTTTTCACAATAAAATAGTTACAGAACAAAAACCTAATTCAATTTCATGATAAACAAGTTAAATAACAGCAAGCCGATTCAATAAAGTACTTTCACAATAAACAAGTTGAAGAACAGAAACCCCAATCCAATTTCAGGATAAACAAGTTAGTAATTAACAGCAATCCAATTCAATAAAGTCTCGATTTTTTCACGATAAACAAGTAAAATAGCAGATACCCAATTCAATACAATCTCTATTTTTTTCACAATAAACAGGTTAAAGAACAGAAACCCAATTCAATTTCACAATAAGCAAGTTAAATTACAGCAATCGAATTCTATAGTCTCTATTTTTCACACAAAAAAAGTAAAATAAACGAAGCAGAAACTTACTTCTACCCATGGTGACAGCTCCAGGTAACAAAGGTTAGAAGCAAATACAAGGTTGACTAAAATTCTGACGATGAAAATCAAAAACCAAAGCAGGCGTTGAACAAACAGAGAAATCAAACTTCTTAATTGAATCGAAGAACAATGTATCCATAAAGTAATTTTTTGGGAAGAAATTTTGAGAAACGGAGAAGATCTAGAGATTTCACACAAGATTACAAGGAAAAGAAAAAAAGAAGTATTAGGAGAAAAAACCTCTGCTATTTATAGATCTAAGCACAAATAATAATTGGAAAGTTTTTTATAGTTTTTTTCACAGAACGAGATATTCAGGGTGGGTGGCTGCGAATATTCGGGGATGGTGTGAAAGGAAAAAAGAAGGGGGGTAGTAGGATGATGACGTGGAGTTCTTACAGCCGTTGATTTGGTTAGCGGAGAGTTTGAGTGTCCAGTGGGGTCCATGGATATTGTGAAAGAGAGCGTTGAAATAGGGATACACGTGGAAAATGCACGTGCAGAGTTTCCCTTCCTACGGAACTGAGTGGCGTGTGTTTTACTTCCCTTTTCTTTTTCTTTTTCTAGGTATCGTGTTTCTTGAGAGTGTGTATTTGTTACGAAACTAATTAAGTTTTTTTTTTTTTGTGAAAAATGTATTTTTATTGTCAATTACAGTATCTATGGATAATTGTGCATATTTTGATGATTTCGTTGAATATTTATTTACCAAGTATTAGTTAGGTGAAGTTCTAGCTATAAAATATTTTTTTTTTGCCTTCGTGTGATTATTTCCTTCTAATTAGTATCTAATATATCCACATTTTTTTTGAAACGCCAAAATTACCCTTACTTATTGTTCTAAAAAGAAATAAATTGACAGTTTCTTTACGGTCAATATTTATAAAATTTTCTATCAAAATTTCTTCAATCAAAAACTAGTTTGAGAAGCATCTCTTATTCGCCACGACCTATATCGTATTATTCTGATAAAGTTTATGGTATATAATACCCCAAGCCCCCTGAATATGTTTTCCTTAAAACAATAAAAAAATTGACTTGTTTTATTGAAATACTAACGTTTTCTCTTTCTTTTTTCTTTCAATTGTTTTCCAACAATAAATATATTGTAATATGCATTCTGCTGAATACAAGATGTGTTTCACCATCATTTAACTCATCATTAACAGCAATTTTCTATTAAAAAAAAGGACAATGAAAATGTTCTTATTTGCCAAGTAAAAGCTGTCCCTCATAATTCCACTTGATATAGTTTTTCGTTTTGATAACCAATCAATGAACCGAAATGATTCCTTTTGTTTTTTTTCATTTTAATTCTTCTATTAGGATAAGAAATGTCCTATATTCACCTTTCAGTAACAGAGAGATGAGAAATTATTATGTGAGAGCTCGAAGGGATTATTGTACGGGTCAAAATCTGACCGAGAGAATCTTGCCTAAAAGAGGATTACTAAGAGCCGATTAGGTCAAGGCCATGCTCAAGATGGAAGGAACCCATTGGCGAATAGAGTAGCTAGGGTCGAGGTCGAGTACTCAGATCAGCCCAAATAAATAGTTTTAGTAGTAAGATATTTTAGGGAAATATTCCACAAAATATTTTCTGCACTTGTACTTTCAGTTAGGTGAGGGATATGTCCCATATAAGAGGGAATAGAGAGAGAAGTAGAAGGAGGTAATATTCTAAATGATAAGTTCTCTCGTGAAAAGTTGACTCTCAAGTAAATTACAAACATTGTCTTTACAAAAAGATTCTATTTGTTGTTGATCCCACACTTCCTCGCATCACATCCGAAAAAACTTTCTATATTCCCATGTTTGTTTGTCTTACATCATTGTCAGAAGGAGAATCATCCACCTCATTGAATATTTGGGTGAATCATTCTTTCTATTTACATTTATTGTCATTTAATATATTTATATCTTGTCATTACTCCCCCGTACATTCATAACAATACCATTAAACACCCTTTTGCATTAAATTGGTTTAAGTGCAATTATACGCTGTTCACACAACCGATTTCAGATCTAGAACTTATTATGTTTAACTAGGATTTACCCATTATTTTTTTATTTAATTAGTTTAACAAAAAATCTTAACACTTTTTGGTCAAACAATTTGGCGTCGTCTGTGGGGCTTTTCTAGTTAAAATTTTAGTTTCTTCTAGATCTTAAAAAAACACAAAACTTTGCAAAAACCCTGTATTTCCTTATTGGCACAAATCTAACATGGCTGGCAACGGAGAGGAAAAGAGGAAGGCGATAGCCGACCTTACCACCAACCTCCTCCATACCATTAACGAAGTGGACGAAACGGAGGGCGAAGACATAACACCAAACACCTCTCCCAGGCGAAACAGCTCGCCTCCACCTCTCGGTAGCATCATGACCTCGCACTGTAAGGGTGCCTCTACATCCACAACAGAAGAGGCACCACCAGCAATGAAAAAGCTACTTGAGGCCTGGTTGACAAACACGCTAACCGACTTTCTCAACAAGCCCGCTCGGAGGTCGAGTAGAGAAGAGACAAGGGCCGGTGTCGCATCACTAGCTGATGAGCAGCAC